CAGCAGACAGTAAGCAGATTCGGCGATAGTTGCCGATATCGTGCAGGTCACCCTTCTTGAACAATAACATGGTCTTGCTGGTCTCCCACTTAGTAGGGACCTTGCATTCAGACAGGTAACGTGTGAAGAGCCGAGCTAGTGTGTTTACGAAGACTGGCGGAAGGTTCTTCAGGTGTTCTGGTCTTATCCTCTTCTGACCTGGTGCTGTTCGATTTTTCACCGACAAAATCGCATGTCGGATTTCGGAAGTGAGAACCGGTGGTACAACATATCCATCCTTCATATGACGGATGGTGGACGTGGCTATCGAAGAGATCAGAGTAGTATTCGTGAATGATTTTCTCCATTGTCTTTCTTCACGCTGTAACTGTTCCGTTTGGAGGCCGGAGTGCAATCATTTTTGTCTTGCAATTGGCGAAGATTCGATGGGTTTTATGAATGCTTTTCCCAGCCTCTGCAGCATCGACCATTACTGCTGCTCTTCTTTCTTTTAGACCTCATGTTATCGCCTGTATACATTGTTTTGCAAGTCCAGACATCAGTTTGCGGTTGCTTGCAGCTGGTGCGATTTCACGCTGGCGTATCGGCTCGAGTGTTTTTGGACACAGACGTCTTTTGATGACTTTAGAACTCTCAGCTTTCATAGTGCTGACGTGAAGATGTTCAGTGAGCCGATCGCATTCTTCGCCGATGTTATCGACAATGGCATCTTTCCAACAACTGACTAATGAATTGAATAGGTTCCTGTTCATAGTGATTCTGGGACTTGGGTTTTTGCACGGAAGAGGCAATGGTCTTATCCTGTGTAGAATTTTCGAACAACAGCAACATCGGTTAGGCAAAACCTATTTACTGTGATGCGGTCTATTTCGTTATGGTACTCTCCATTGGGGACTCCCACGTCCAGCGTTGAGAGTGGGGCTCTGGAATTGCGAGTTACCATGGATGGTTTTGGTCGCCATAATAAATTCAGATAGCCGCTCACCCTGTTCGTTCAATTCTAATCCGTGAGTCTCAATGTGACGTTCTTCTTTGTCCAATCTTCGCGTTGGCATCTCCAATGGTGACCTTGAAGAATGTGTGGTCTTCTCTGTAGAACATCTCGAAGTCCATATAGAACGCTTAGGCTTCTTCTTATTCATAGTTTGATGTCGGCGCGTAAACGACGAAGATTGTTAACGCCGGAATTGACCCACGTCTTCTTAATCGCAAATGTCCGAATCAGGTTGTTAGTTGTTCGAATGAATCAATGTTCATGGACAAACTCTTGTTAACGAGAACGCCGACACCTCCGACTCTACTGTCGCATGTTCCGAGGAACAGTTTTTATTCGGTGTCATAGACAGCGTTGATTGGGTGGCGTCGTCTCGTCTCGGCCAAACCGATGACGTCGACCTTATCCTTCTTGCTTGCATGAGCAAGTTTTGTATCGAGGACTCGTATGCTAGTGTACGTGCGTTGTAGGTACAGATCGTCACTTTAGTTCTTTGTAATCCAGGCGGCTTCCATTGGCGCTGAGATTTTAGCAGCCTCTCCGTACTCGTCCTACCCAACGCAGCTAAATTGGGGGCCCTTTCGGGGTCAGAGGAATGAGGCCCGTTTCTTCTACTGTTTTTAGCTTTTGAATACCCACGTATAGCATGCTGGGCTGTGAACGTGGGAGGCTGGGTATTCTCATGAGTGGATTGCCAGTCTCTGCTAGAGTGGACATGGAGCTTATTTGTTGGAGGCGACTCCTAACCACCTCCCATATATTTCCCTGTCGCTTGATTGCAGGCTTTTGGCCGAATTAACTCGTAGAATACAACCTGCATAAACTAGAACGTACCCACACGGCATGCATGAATAATCCTCGTTAATACAAAATGTATGTGCGAAATCGTCGCAGCAGAAACAGGGAGTCCATCCCTTGGGTCCACCTGCGTCTCGGGGAAGCAAGGGTCGCTTTTGGTCAGCGATTAATCCCCTATCCGCCACCTGGGGGCGCACCAAGTATCCTCACGATTAGCCGGCTATCGGGATTCCTCATATATATTATATATATATATATATATATATATGTATATATATATATGTAATTACTTACCTGAAGACTTGGATGAACTGTCATCACTGTTAATGCGAGTGGTTTTTTAAGGCGTTTCTTTGCCAGGGGGTAATCGTCCATGATGATAGTTTGATTCTGATGTGATGACTTGTGTTACTCTCACTCCATAAAGTATAAGGAATTGCTGATGAAGCAGCTGATTGGTTTTGGCTACAAACAGATTCGCCCATATTGTAGATGTTCATTATGTGGACTTCAAGCATCTCCTCGGAATTCATTCTACTGTTGATTTCGTCAGTTTGTTGCTTATTCTTCTCAGTAGGTTATTGGCTCTTCTGTATTGCTCTGCTAATGTGTGTTTTCCTGTATTTCGAGGAGAAGATAGCTTTTGAGTGTTTAAACTATGAAGTCTAGCAGGATGTTACTGTCAACAACGTATACTCAACAACACGGTGATGGTTGACTCAAAAAAGTGTGCTAACAGTTCTGGATCTGTTAAATGACTGCTGACTTCTCGGAAAGCTTGAAGGCAACCTATGCTGCTTTCCGTCCTCTGCAGAACTCCTCCATTATGTTGTTTTCCATATTCATGGATTGCTCTAGGTTATACGTTTTTATAGATGCATACACTTTCGCTCTCTTAGCTTGAAATCTTTAGTGGTGTCGTCCAATGCAACTTTGTTTCAGATGTTGCTGATGTTCTGAGAAACATGCCGGGAATCCTTGTTGTGGAAGAATAAATCTAAATCTGTTGTTGATTCTTTTGCTTTTCCTTTTAAATGGATATTTTAAAGGTTTCCTTTGTATATCATGCTGTTGCATCATTGCTTGTTTACATTGTTGTAAATAAAAGGACAAATTGTTCAGTGTTGATTAATCTCTTAGAGATGCGCCATACATTCGATATCACCAAGCATCGCAAAGGCGTTTGAGTGCATTTGATGTGTCTGATACAATGACTTGAGCTGGCCAACCCATTTAAGTCAATGATTTTATCCTCCCAGACAATAGTACGAATTTACCAGTATACCGTTTATAGGTGTTGGTCTTCATAGTACGTATGCTCTTCTCACAATGACCGTAAATGTTCTAACTTGGAAAGTCGGCAAACAAGAAGAAAATTCTAAGCAGTGGACTTTTCAAATAAATGACATCGGCATCCATCGGATTTGCTTTCGCTTGTGACTTTCTGCCCCGAATCACATCGTTTATCGGTTCACTTCAAAATCGGCTGTTTTATGAGTAACTCATCTATCGATTACTGAAGTAGATGATGTGACAATTACGACAGCCATTCGTTCTTCACAAAATCTCGATAATTCGTTAATCATTCATTATTTGTACCGTCAGTCGTCGTCGTCGTCGAGTAACTCGACAGAGCGCGGGTAGACTCCACAGTAGAGCTACTCAACATTCAACATTCAATGTTATACCTTTTTATTTTCTGCCTACTATAATTTCGCGGCAGGGTATTAAGCGAAACACAACCACAACGTTGCTGAGATATTTGCAAAACTCTGGACCGCAGGTGTCTATGGTGGGGAACGAACGCGCTATTGTCCTTTCCGAGGAGTAAAGCGTTCACCACCACACCATGAGGGTCCTTTGTTTCGCCTGTCTCTCAGATATTTCTATCGATCTTTGCCGCAGCAATCACCCGTCAGCGGGATCGATCTGGGGCGCCCAAATCGGCATAGAACCCAGTTAAGCTGCGGCTGTAGTTGAAATCACAATGTTATACCTTTTTATAGACACCTGCGGTCCAGAGTTTTGCAAATATCTCAGCAACGTTGTGGTTGTATTCAACATTCGCTTAACGAAGTTTAACGTTTCGTTACTACTCACAAATGAACTGATCAAGTGAAATGTGTGAAGCGCCAATCTTTTGTGCTCCAAATAGGGCTAAAGTAGTCATAAGTCATGGCAAAATTACTGTCGTATCAACCATCTCAGCGTAGTCGACGAGTCGACTGAAATATACTGATACCACGTCGCTAAGGTGAGTCTTTGTGTCACAGGTGCCACGTGGTAGAGGAAAAATGAATTTTCATGGCCACTCAGCACAATATGTGAGACCGGACCATCAGAAAAACTTCAATAAGCAGACACGAAGTTGTTATTGTAGAATTTATTAGGATACAACAGCTGACGTTTCGGCGGTTTCGCCTTCTTCAGAGCCTTGAAAGGTCAAATTGAGATGCGATCTACTCAGTCAAACACTTTCATAACCCTAGTAGAGAAAACTTAACAAATAAATTTGTATTCGCATAAGAAACAGCTTCATTTAAAAACCTACCGTTTCTTTGTTGTAAGTATTTCAGTTAGTTGGTGTATAGCAGCTGCACAAATCTGCTTAGGGTTTTGAGTGTTTGGCTGGGTAGATCGCATCTCGATTTGACCTTTCCAGGCTCTGAAGAAAGCTAAACCGCCGAATCGTCAGCTATTTTATCCTAATGAATTTTATAATAGCAACCTCGTGTCTGCTTATTAAAGAAAAACATTGAGTTCTTAGGGAACTGTTCTCACAATTTGCCCTAAAGTACTCATTCATACATAGTTAAACTAAGATTTGATACAAAATTACTTCAAACAAAATGATGTAAGATTGAAGAGTTATCATGGGAGTGCTTTCTCTTCGATTTATTTCAGAAAAAGAAAACAAAATTTCCATTTATTTACAGCAACCAACCTATTGCATTACACTGTATTGCTGAGCACGTCAAACCACTGCGCTACATGCGCCTCCTTATTTTCAGTACCCGTATCTCATCACGGAATCCAATCGATAGATAGCTGAGATTTCCAGTAATTTAAAAAATACATACATTAGGATTTGAAAAAATCAGCATGTTCAACAAAAAAGAACCCCATAGTGCTTTAGAGCTCTAAGAGCGCTTCAATAGTTTCTTCGTATTTAAGGGACAAGAAAAATGGGATATAGTAGTTGATGTGGTTATCGACCAACAGTTCTTCCTAGCACTTTCAACTCGTCGGGCGCCCGTACGACCCACTCGGGCCAGCCGCCGAAGTAGATTCTGGCGTCGTAATTCAAACGCTTCAGTGCCCACCACACCAGTGACGACCGTAGAGAAGTGGAACAATAGACTATCTTAAACGATGAATTTAACGAATTTATTTTCTGTATGGGAGAAATGAGACCATGAAGCATAAATTGAAACTCGGTTAAAAAAATTTTTTCAATAATCAATATATCCGATTCATTCGAGAAGAATAAAAAGAAAGCTATCCGCCGCAATTAATTCGGTGGGCCATGTGCATTTTCAATGATAACCAGATTTAATGACTGTATTTGTGTGAGATTGAATGGCTCATTTATCATTTATCCGTTAAAAGCTCACCACAGGCTTCTGACGTATGAGACCGGCATAATTAAAGACCTGCTCGATTTCCTCGGATGAGCGCCACTTGTTCGCCTTCCAGTCATAGATGACATCGACTGGGATGTTGATTGCGCCATGAATGTGCCCATACAACACCCCCGTTGGCTCACCATTGTATTCCTAGATTATGGAGCATAGTATTCTTGTTAATGTACATCTGACACACTACTTACTTTTCTGGAAGAGAAAAAATTTGACACATTTAGCGACAGGCAAGTTTTCCAGCGTAAGTCACCTTTGAGATTGTTCAATGGTCCTTCAAAAGTCACTATCACACCTCTGTGCCAAAGTAAAAAATATAGCAAAATAAAAACTAAGACAAATAGAACAAATGTCAAATATCGTTGAAAGCTTTCCCAGTGCAAGAAAATAGATCTACAAAAATAGCACTGTACTTATGCGCTCACACTTCATTAAGCGTTCTTTCCATGTTTTCCTTACAGTTCAATATTTTGCTGAGTTAGACGTGAAACGAAAAGATTACCCGAGTTGGTTTCATGAAATGTACGATACTCTGACCGACCTCTTTTGTTTGAGCGTCAACGATATCAAAGTTATGAAGTTCGATATTGAGAAGGACATCGTCAAAAGTAATCACCACAGATTGATTCCACGTTGACAGCAGATCTCCTAAAAATTTTTCGCAACAACAATGAGAAAAACCCTTCTCATATACGAGTTATAGTCACTATCGTCTGGTTGACATAGATCGCAATATATGGATAAAGTCAGAGCAATTACTACAAGAAATTTTGCCTATTCTATAGAACTTCTTCTTTAGAAAAGCTCATAATTCTTGCGCTAGCAAAAAGAGGCCTATCCAGGCTGCGTCTGCATGAAACAGCTATAGGAGACACTGGGTCAATTCTGCATCTTACTAAAGGTTGCCTTCTTCACTGAGTTTCACAGCTCCATCACAGATAATAATTTGGCATGTTATCATCGAATCGAACTTCCCGTATTCGTGGAGTACCTTAGTATGCGTCTTACACTAAATTTTTCCTTTTCGGGAAAATTCGGGTTCGGGAATAGACTCGAAAATTCTCTGTGGAAATAATCTGAGAGTGATAGTTTTAGGCTAGGCGGCGACAAAGGTTAAACGAATGTCTCACGAAGCTGAGTAAGGCGAATTGACAAGACACGGACTAACTGTTCATTTTTTTATTCCATTATATGCGACGGGAACAGAGATGGCATTCTATGGGTTCTCGCTATCGATTGATGAAATATGGAGCCGACCTTGTGATCGTCCACTTTCTTCACCACTATTGGTTCGGTATTGCAACGATCTGGCCTGTTGTGCTTTCCAACCAAGGAAACCGCCACTCAAAATAGAAACGCGACGGTGTCCGAAGAGCTGCAACTTTTTGATAAAGAAAAATATTAGATAATACGACAATATTACTTTCCATGAAACACATGTAATTAGAAATACCGGGATAGGTATACCACCAGAGTCACAAATAATAGAAATTTTGGATGCACAACACAACATATTACATTGTTTTCTAAGTAGCGGATAAATGCGACGATTCGATAGGCTTCACGTGTTAGATTCGGCCATATGTGAGAACCAGCTGTGACGAAATCCCTAGCTAACCTTAAAAATCCATGCTGCGTAGGTGCTCCAGATCATTTGTCCCCTGTCGTAGATTATCACGTGACAATCGTTGTCTACACCCAGTGATCGAATATAGCTAAAGTGCATACAGTGAAATATCAACACTATAGATCTACAGATAATTGTTAAAATTGATTTTCAGAGTCCTTTTAAAAAAAGCCGGTATGTAGAATGCGTGAAAAAAGTGTTCCTGACTTGACTGCTCGCGATCTACTACATAAATGTAAGTTATTTGCTTAATAGAAAAGATGAACTAGCAACATTCAAATATCGAAAAAGAATGTTTAACTTCACTGACACTCTCCCCCTTTCCCCCCCCCTCTCTCTCTCTCTCTCTCTCTCTCTCTCTGCTTAAGAATTGATTCTTATAAAGTCTTCCACACCTTTCACAGGAAACTATTATGCTTAGGCTTTTAGTTCTACTCAACCCGACATCACAAATGTGTCGATTTCAGCGCTTCTTGCACTCATTTCGTTTCCTCCCACCTATCATCTATGAAAGTCTTCTCCGGATTTGCGTGTGGATTCGACTGTTGTTGGGAAATTTTCCATAATCGTCACGAATGTGGTTGATTGTTGATCGAATCGATTCTCACCTTGGAGTTGTGAGTTAACTATGCTAGGGCATCCTACGTGGACTAGACAGTAGGGATGAGTTTATCCCAGACGAGTTTGCTACCAATTTCTGTATCCTTCACAGAACCTTGTTAATAATGAACGGCATCACTACTACTACGCTGCCACTGCAACAAAATCAAGTCAGTGAACTTCTTAGTTAGGTGATGGAAGCCTTTACTAAAAAGTATGTTGAATCAAAACTACTTAGAATATAGAATGTTGCTAAACTTTTCTTCTTTTTTGAAACAAATTTCAAAGATTTACTCTTTGTGGGACTAATACAGTGTCATTTAATCCATATTTAGAAGACGTTAAGGACATAATGCACACGAAAGCTCAGAATTGAACACACATATGCAGCTGACCGTTGAAATTGAAGCGGATGAACTGGCACTCCGGAATGGCTAAGGTTTGAGTGATAGAGGAGGCGAGCAGTTTCGATATGTTCGGCCAAGTACAGCTCTCTAAATTTAAAGCACCTGTTATCTCTAAGTTTTCGAGAGAGAAGGAAAAATCTAATAGCTTTTGTTTCCTTATTCTTAGTTAAAAATTGCTCTCGTCTGCTACTCCTCTGAAATGTGCTCATGGCAGAATATTTCGATTTATTCCGGAAAATGTTGATAGTTGGGCCGAAAATGAGAAGTAATCTGGATGTTCAGGTGCTAGGCGTACCTGCTCCTTACTTCATCGCCTGTGGTCGCCTCCAGCAAGCACACCTTCCGCTTTGTGATCAGGAGTGTCAGCAGGTGATTGGCCGACATATCGGCTTCGTATCTCCTCGGCGACGAAGGTGCGTGAAGCGAGGAAGCATCGAACGACGAATACTGAACAGGTAGGATGGAACCACTCCACCCTAATAATAAATACGGCAATTTAGTAAAATAATGACTGTTTATGTCTTATTAAGCAAAATGAGCAAAGCATACATAGTCAGGAGAATCAGGCAATGCCAAGCGTAAGACCCAGGAACACTTTGTGAAGACAAGGGGATTTGAAATTTAGGAAAATCAGAAATGGCCGCCAACTAGTCACCTCATTCAACTCATTGATGACAGCACAACCAGCTTATTGGTTATCCACAGCTAGATAAAACGAGACCTTCCATCTCTAACACATTCGATTGCATTGGAGTCAATGCGTAAACGCCAAAAATTGGTGTAACTAGCCAACAATAAACAAACATATCATGGCTCATAGTGATCCTTATTAAATTAGATAAAAACCACTGAAATCTATATTCCTTTTTAACACGGCAAAAGTTTTCTTACATCACGACGAAATTCAGAATTTTTGGAGGCTGAAAATCTTTTCTTTTCGTTTTTCACCGAAGCATGTATTATTCCAAGAACAAAGCAATGAAACAAGTTAGATTTACTCGAACAGGGCACAATAGTAGCCCTGTATGCAAAGCTGTGCTCGCGCTTGTCAGCGGACTTGCATTTTAAAAACCACCAAAAACTAATATTTTTCACAAAATCAAAACCCAAAAATTGACCTTTTACCAATTTTCGCCTCTTAGAAGTTCTAAAGACCTATAGAAGTCAAAAATAGCCCTATAGCGACGTGGGGTTTTCATTAAGACTTCTTATATGAAATTCTCAAGCACTATCGTTATCGAAAATTTTAAAGGAAAAACCCATACTATTATCCAATGTTTAAACAACCTTATTAACATGGCATTCTACAAGGATGCTTGTGGATTCTGCTTCAGGATTTGGAATATGTAATAAGGGCAAAAGGCTGAGAATGTGAACTATTAAGATTGCTCATGTGTGCAGACGTAGAACGAACCTCGTCGCGCACACTGCGAATCGTGGAAGTTGGCTTCGGACCGAACAACAGTACGCCAATAACAGAAGCCACTAGGGTGAGGACAACTATTACGAAGGCAGTCGATACAAAAATTACCCGCCATCGTGGAGACGAACGCTGAAAAATGAAAACGTGGAGCTAAAGGCTTCGAAAATTCGCTTTTGTGAGTAATTTTCTAAGAGGCACGAGTTGATTTATAAGTTACAAGGACAGTGCAGAATCCAACAGGTACGCTTGGCTGGGCGATTACGCAGTGATAGATAAACAAGGCAAGTCTATTACCTGAGTTAAAGGTAACGGTATAAAAAGGACTCTGGTGTAGTGGGGAACACAACTTCAAATCGAAAACGAAGATTTTGAAAAGTTGATGGGTCATGCAACACGAGCGCTTGCCATGCATCATGCTCCAATGACCTCTGGGAAGTGAAACTATATTCGGGCAAGTATCTTGTAGTGGCTGCGATTCAAACGCTTCAATGAGCACGTCATGTTCTCTGAAGACCTGCCTCTATTTGCGTTTGAGCTGCGTTTGGCGAATAAACTGCGTGACGAGTTCGAGCTATGCCCGAATTATGCTACAAATCTATAGAAGTTACTTGATTCTGATCACTTTGCCATTTCCCAAAATCTCAACATTACAGACTTTTACAGAGTTAGGCTCCTTGGACATCCTGTAGTCTGAATGAGTACGAACAATACGTGTAAATCGCCTACATCACTTGTATCACCTGTCATACCACTGCTCGTCGAGTAACTGGAGTGGCCACCAGTATTTCTTCCATTTCTCCCTGTCGCGTGAAGAGTAGCCCAGTAGGTTCTGCTCGCTTTGGGGACTCGTTGAGCATCATACCTTTCTTCAAGGCACTTCATGAAGAACTCTGACCATCGACTTGGTGGCCTTCCTGCAGTAGGTTTGACATCCATAGGAATCCAGTCATTAACGGCTGTTGTCCATGCGTTGTCGTTCGTACGCATTACGTGTCCGACCCACCTTATGTTCGACTGTTTGGCGTATAGCGCGGTATCCTCGATTTTTGATCGTTAACAGAAGACAGAAGTCGGAGTTTCGGATCCCTTCCCTTACTTGTGTGACAGGGAATACTTTAAGCACGGTCGTGTCGACTGCCCGTTCAATAACGCTGAGTGATCCTTCATCCTGCTTATTCAGCGACCAGGTTTCGTGGAGTCGAAAAGGTAGGCAACGAGGCGGGTGTGTTCATTATAATCTCCACTAAATTTTCGATGTTCTTGAGAGTTCTCCAAGCCGTCTATTTCCTTCTGCTCAACTGTGGAGCTAAGTCGCTCATGATGTTGACTTCTCGACCCACATAGACGTAGGTGCAGCCTTCGGAGATATCCATTCCGTTCAGCGTGAATGGGGCATAGGAAACTAATCCGTTCCTCATAAACATCCTTTTTTGTGAGATTAAGTCGAAGACCAATTTTCCCACAAACTTTATCAGAGTCGAGAAGCATTCGTTCTGCTTGGCTAATGTTTGGTGTTACAAGAACGATGTCATTAGCAAAGCGAAGATGGTGTAGTTGCCGACAATCGATTTTCACTCCCATATTATCCCATTCCAATTCTCGCATGACGTTCTCGAAAGTGGCGGTACACAATTTTGGCGAGATGGTATGGCTCTGGCTAACGCCTCCTTTGACGTCGACTTTAGTATCGTTGAGTAATGGTAATATCTACGCTGTGAAATTTTTGTACAGCTGACGAAGAATATTTATATATTGAGTCTGAACTCCGTGACCGTCCAGGGCTTCCATGACTGCTTCTATCTCAATGAGTCAAAAGCCTTCTTCAAATCGATGAAGGTGAGATAGAACGGTATTCTATGCTCTGGCGGTACATCAATGAGTCTTGTTATCGTGTGAATGTGGTCCATCGTACTAAATCCTTTTCGAAACCTTGCGTACTCACATGACTGTCCTTTTGCCAGTGTTCTGTCAGTCCTGTTTAGGATGACACTAGTGAAAAGTTTGTAGACCAATGATAGCAAACAGACTAGCCGATAGTTGCCAATATCGTGGAGGTCTCCCTTCTTGAAGAACAGTACGATCTTGCTGGTCTTTCGCTGAGTAGGGACCTTAAGATTCAGAGAAGTAACGTGTAATGAGCAGAATGGGTGTGTTTAAGAGGACTGGCAAAAAGTTCTTCACGTGTTCAAATCTTATCCTCTTGGGAAATGGTACTGTTCGATTTTTCATCGGCGAAATAGCATATCGTATTTCGGAAGGGAGAACCGGTGGTACAACATATCCATTTTCATTTATTTAATATGGGGGCAGGAGAACGTGGCTTTTGAAGAGATCTGGATGGCCATCGTGAATGATTTTCTCTGTCGCCTTTCTAAACGCTGTAACTGTTTCGTCTGGGCGTCGGAGTTCAATCATCTTCCTCTTGTAGCTGGCGAAGCCTCGGTGGGCTTTGCGAATGCTTTTGCCAGTCTCTGCACTGTCGACCATAATTGCTGCTCTTCTCTCTTTAATATCTTCTTTTATCGCCTGTCTGCATTGTTCTGCAAGTTCGGGCGGCTCTTGGTGAGTTTCGAACTCTCAACTTTTATAGCGCTAACGTGAAGAAATTGTATGATCCGACTATATTCCTAGTCGATGTTATCCAGAACGGCATTTTTCCAACAACCGAATAGTGAATTGAATAAGTCCCAGTTTATTGCGGTTCTGAGACTTCGTTTTTTAAACTTAGCGGCTTTTTCATCTTTTAGCGAGAAATTAAATCTTGTACGGAGACGATGGTCTGATCCCGTGTAAAACTTCGTGACAGCGCGACATCTGTAAGCCAAAACCTTCGATTTACTATGAAGTGGTCTATTTCGTTATGGTCTATGGGAAACCCCCTACAACAATCGTAGGGGGTGCGGGTTCTGGAATTGCGAGTTAGCATGAACGGTCTTGGTCGTCATTGCTAAACTCAGACGGCCACTCACCCTGCTTGTTCCATTTTAATCCATTGGTCTCAATGCGATGCTCTTCAAACATTCTCCTTCCTCCAATCTTGGCGTTAAAATCTCTAGTGATGATCATGGGAAATGTATGGACTTCTCTGTAGAACTTTTCCAAAATAGAATGCTTCGACTTCTTCTTCGTCATAGTTTGATGCTGGCCAGTAAACGACGAAGATTGTCAAACCCGGTATTGATCCACATATCTTCAACCGTAAACGTCCTATTCGGCTTTTTAGTTGTTCGAATGAATGCTCACGGCATAAGTCGTGTTGAAGAGAAAGCCGACGCAGCCGGCTCCTCTACTGTGGCCTGTGGCATGCTCCGAGGAACAGCTCTTCTCTAGTCTCATGGAGGGCGGTGAATAGGTGGCGTCGTCTCTCTCCGGCCAGTACGTCGTACCTATCCTTCTTACTTGCATGATCAAGTCTTCTATCGAAGACTCATTTGCAAGTGTGCGTGCATTGTAGGTACAGATCGTTACCTGAGTCCTTTGCGTTTTAGGTAGTTTTGAATGGCTCTGAGATTTCAGCAGTCTCTCCTTGCTCGTCCTACCCAACACTGCTGAATCGGAGCTGTTTTGGGGTCAAGGGAATGAGGCCCGTTTACATCGCTGTGTTCAGTTTTTCGATCCCCACGTATAGCTTGCCGAGCTCTAAAAGTGAAGGCTGGGTATGATACAGGTAGCTTGCCAGTCTCTCCTAGAGTAGACAAGGAGCTTATTTGTTGGAGGCGACTCCTAAGCGCCTCCCTTATACTTTTCTGTCATTCTTCGTATTCTTGTTGAGCAAACGCGAGGTGTTACATTGCACCTTATTCACGACAAGCTGACGTTTCGGCGGATTTCGCCTTCCTCAGGGCCTGGAAAGATCAAGTTTTTTTTTGACTTTCCTGTAAAGTGATTACAAGCTTCTGGCCGAAATGACTCGTAGAATACTACCCGCATAAACGAGAACACACCCACACACGCATGCATGACTACATGCTCGTAAATACAGAAAACATGTCCCAAATTGGCCCATCAGAAAAAAGGAGTCTATCCCCTGGATCTATTTGGGTCTCAGAGAAGCAATGGTTGCTTTTGGCCAACGACTAACCCCTTGTCCGCCAGTTGGGGGCGCGTCACGTAGCCTCACGACTAGCCTACCCGAGATCCCTCATGTGAGGGAGATCTGTGGTCTTGCGAGTCAGTGTTTGTAAATTTCTACTGCTTCATCCGCACTAACAAGACTATCCGGGATACATCATAGTTAGAAATGAGAATTGAGTTGCGATGGATTGGTTTTATGGTAAATGAAAGGCGACCGAAACGACATAGAATTGCGCTCTCCCTTTTCCAGGAAAAATTGGTCGGCTTCATGGCTTCGAAGTTGCTTTAAAGGTCACCAGTAGTGGGGATTGGTTTTTAGATCTCTGCAGACTTTACATAGTCACGCAAAAGTTATTGTGGACGCTATGATCAACCTAGCAGCGTTTTATGTCTCGAAATAAACGCCCGAAAAAATGAGGTACTCCGAATATACAGTTGAAAAACCTGTCATAAAATAGGACCTATTGTTTCTCTCTTAACTGCAAAATTTCCCTTTTTTTGTGAAAAATTGAGCATTCGATAGTGATTCCTAATTCACTGTTTTCTTAACGAGTAGACACGAGTTTGTTACTGAAAATATTTAGCCACGATAGCTCACATTCCAGCAGTTTAGCCTTCTTCAGAGTTGCTTTGTTGTTTATAAGTGTTTCAATTGCTGCTCAACCAGCCGCTCTGGATTCTACATGGGTGAAGAATGTTGGAACAAAAGGAAAGGAAAGCTCTCACCTTTTTTGTGTTGTGAATGGCAAGATGCGTTGGTTTCGTTGGTGGCGGTAATGGAGGCAGCGAATTCACCACCTGCATGCAACTTTTACAATTTCAGTGGTAATCGGATTTTTAAGGATGTTTCTGATCTTTCCGAGTTTTTTTAATAGGTCACCGTACGACTGCGTATGATATTGCGCTTCTCCATGTTCCTCTTCCGCCAGGTTCACCTAGCCGCGGCTGCGGGAGGCCACATGATGACCTTCGCGAAGTAGGTTGCCAACCTAATTCTCAAAAAATTTATCGATTAAGGACAACCCTAATTTTGAGAGTGTG